AAATCTCTTCATATAAACAAACTAATGCTTTGCCTGTGGTTTTTCTATTTAAAATCAGAGGCAACCACTGCATTTTAATCATGATCCAAACAAAGATGCTAAATACATGTTTAGATTGCAATTAGATTGTATAATTTCGAAATTTTAAGCAAAAACTGAATGGTTTGGTTTTAGCTTTGTGAATGAGACGCAAATGTCACTCTCTGACAACAGGTGGCGCTTATGGAACAGCAGGTATTTATAGGCTGCTGCCCCTTTAAGACCGAATGCACGGATCCAATATAATGATGCACTTGAGATTTCTTTCACCACTGTTTACGTTCACTTAAGACATAAACAAAGAGTAAGTTTTTCATAGCTTATCATAAATCTGTAGACTTATTATATATATATATATATATACACCCCCCCCCAGCTGGTCCATGAGAATTTTTTAAAAACATAACCAGTCCATGGTGTAAAAAAGGTTGGAGACCCCTAAATTACAGAGTTGCACATTAAAAATTAACAAGTATTCTACAACATTTACAGCATGAATACTTCATTGTACTTTTTTCCAGTGAACTTTGACCCCTACCACAGTGCATCAGATTTTGAGTTCAGACTGAAGTTTAGGGACATTCAGTAGTCTTCCAGATACTAAATTGTCAGTAACTTTTCTTGTTGTAAAAAAAAAATAACTTTTATTTTGGATGCGATTAATTGCGATTAATCGTTTGACAGCACTAAAAAACAAACAAAAAATTTATTATGTACACTACTGCTCAAAAGTTTAGGATCAGTACATTTTCTTTAAAAGTTTTTGAAAGCCATCTCTTATGCTCACCAAAGCTTTTGTTTGGTCAAAAATACAGTTCAAACAGTAATATTGTGAAATGCAATTACAATTTAAAGGGGTCATATGATGCTATTTTAAAGATCATTTTTATTTTTTGTTTGGATCAATTTAATACATCTTTGCTAAATGATGTTTCATGGTATGCTAAAAATACTATTCATTTCTAAAGTAAAAAAAATACCATAAGCTTTTGAACAGTAGTGTATTTTTTTAATAACCGTGATTTCTAAATAACCATCATGATAACATGCACTTGCACAATGTGTAATAATGTACCAGCATTTGGATTTACAGTATGCATGAAAATCAGTCTTACCCTGCGTCTCAATGTTCATACTATCCATCCTAAATAGTATATGAGATTAGAATAAATGTGTCCCAAAGCATAGTATGTTGAAAAGAGTATGCCAAAAGTCCCC